TCTATAAGTTTAGGATAATGGATTCACTCATGAGCAGCATATATTGAATATTTTGTAGCAGCAGATTTGGGCTCTTTTGTGGAATGAATAAAAATGGACTTTGTCACACTAGATCTAATACGACTGGGCTCTTGCAATGAAACTTTTTGACAAAGGATTTTGTCACAACAGTCGTATTTTGACAAAGTTGCCAGTTATTGTGACAAAAACTATCTGTCATAATAGGCATATTTTGTTGTAGTGATGATCGCAGCCGTGAACTTGGTATCCCTCGGCAGAGAACTTATGCTTTTGCCTTCTTTCCTACTTTACTTCAATTGAAATGTTAAAGTGCCCGGATTAACTCCAAATTGATCCCCGATTGATTGTAGACGAGTAAAAGACCTGGAATATCATCAAAAACACCAAGCAAGCATAAAATATGACAAATTGGGGATAAAACATGACTAAGTGATGTTATTTTCCCATAAAAGCCTTCATATCAAAATAACCCATGCTAAAGCTATTGATTTACAAATAGGAAGGAAAATTAGCATAAATTAGCTTGCAATGTGGCCTAGACATGATATTCTAGCATAAAAATGCGTCAAAAATAAAGGTCAGATAACAACATTTTGGGTTTTATCAGCAGTATTGAGCTAGAGAAGACTTTTAGTGAAGCTATGAGACCCAAGGAGTTTTGCATTACTTTGCAATATTGGTACTTTTAAGATTTCTAGAAGTTTATATCGATTATGGCGCTAACATTAATATGATGTCATATTGCTTGTTTAAGAAACTCAATTTAGGGAATCTAACACCCATTCACATGAGTATCCAGTTAGAATATGAATCCTTACATCAACCTAGAGGCATGATGGAAGGTGTGATGGTAGACATAGTGTCATTTACATTCTCGACCAATTTTTTGTCATGGATACTAATCAATCTGATGCCACCTTAACACTTGGTCGACCATTCTTGCATTAGTCGACGTGCATGGTGGAAAATCATTCTTAGGGTAGGATCCACAAGTGGCACCTTTAAAATGGAAGAGGGAATGAAGCAGTCTCACATCAATGAGGGTAAAAATGAAAATGTGCAATAGTTCTATAGAACTAATATCTTCGGTAATTGCATGTGTCTATGATGATCCACTTGAGGTATGCCTAGTTTTTTGTTTCAGTTAAGAAGGGGGTTGAATGGAACAAGCATCATAGTAGGAATATCTTAAATGTCAAGGAGATGTACCAAAGGAGGAGGAAGATCTGGTGAAATTCCAGCAATTCCTACCCCTTAAGTCATCTTATGAAGAGCCTCCTACTTCGGATCTCAAACCGTTACCCAAACACTTGAAATATGCTTACCTGGCTAACGATTCTTAACTAAAAGTTATCAATATCTCCTCTTTGACCCCTGAACAGAAGGAGCGTTTGATATACCTACTTCGAAAACTTAAGAAAACTATCGCATGGAAAATCACTGACATACAAGGGTTTGACCCCTTTTGCTGAACTCATAAGATCTTGGTGGAGGATGAGTATAAGCCAGCTGTGCAACCTCAGAGGTGGCTAACTATATCTAATTATAGTTTTATAGTTTTCACTCTTCGATTATAATATAATGACCACCGTTTTCACCCTTCGACATATAAAAGCAATAATTACTAGACCATGGAATGAAAATATCAATCAAAATATATTAAATATGAAATAGCATTTTAAAAAAAAAAGATGAAATAGCATTCTGTAACAACTCTGGGTTCCACTAGTTAAATAAAGGGAGTTCTAGCCACTCATAGTGAAGGAGAAAATATTAAATCATTGGGGGTCTTCTTGTATCCTCGTTTTATGACACCTCTCATCCGTCATTTCCAGGTTATGGAGTCACCTTCTCATCGCCTAAGTAATTAAATAGAATTTTCAAAGTGCAAGGTGTGACTAATCAGAGGCCAAAATTCATTTGTGCTTTTCCGTCCCCTCTTTGAGTTTCATACGATACGTAATTGTGAAGTTGGGTTAGTTTGTGAAGGAAGAAGAATTGAGTCACCATTGCTTATCTTCATACAAGCAGTATTGAAGAATTGGAACTGGGCTTCTTTTAACCCAGACCAGACGAAAGAGATGAAAAAGACTCAGACGGCGTCGTAGTAACTAAGTGGTTGAATCCCATAAGGGAATGCGACGCCATATATAGCAAAGGAGAAGGATAAAATCATTACAGTTTGTAATTAGCCACCTGGCAGCTTGTCATTGGCTGATTTCAATATTTAGTTTATTACCGTTACTGCACACATCGTATTCCACCAAACTGCCGACTTGCTTTCTCTTCTCATGAAAACCCTAATTCCCTTATGGGTTTCAACTTTTCTCATAGTTTGACCCAAGTCTGCACAAAATTGGGAAAATATTGCTAGGAAATGGTATGATAAACAATACATTTCAAGTCGAACATGACCTCATATATTCATATTTACCAACACAATCTCATTGTATTTCATAGTGCTAACACCTCATTTACGACCGACGCATGCCTCCTTGTGTATGTTATAACTGTCGAAATTAACATATTGTCATGTGTATCCTTAAGCACCCAACCTATTGTCACGTGAAACCCCTCTACATCACTCCATCAAACAAGCGACGAAGTCTTCTACCCCCTCCAATACCTAGAACTCCATCCCCTTTTCGGCGGGCAGGGGCGGATTCCTAGTCAAATCATATACATTTTCCTATCTGGAACCAAAATCAGAGCTCACCTTGAGTGAAAATCCAACTAATCTTCCACTTGAAAAAGATAATTGGCGAGCAAATATTTCAAGTCAACTGAAACACAACATAAATCTTGACTTCAATAATCGCGAAAACAAGCACAAATGCACCAAAACATAAAAAAAATCATCTTTGACAACCCTTCCTTCAAACCATCGTTTATTCCTCCTTCAAACCATCGTCATAATATTCATAACAATCATTACAAAAAGTTCATGCTACAAAGTTTAGGGTTGGAAGGATATTTACCAAAGAAAATATACAAACATAAATGTGGAATTGTGTTTTTTTTTTTTTTTTGCCATACCTAGAAGACTATTATTATGAAATGGATAACCTTTAAAAAATAAAGAAAAATGGTTACCAGCCTAAGATCATCACTCATCTACCAATTTCCATACACAAATACTCTTCTCTTGGAATGAATTACTTCAAATATAATTTCTTACTAGTTTTTGACATGCGCTTTGCAGCGGTAATTATATTTAAAATTTCATATACCTATTTCATAATAAATTTGAAATCAAATCGTTCACAAAATCTTTCAAGTTATATATACCCATAAGTTTTACATAATGTCTTAATCATTACGAAAGATTCATGCCATGTATTTGTTTAATTGATACATAAGAAATCACTATTCCGTTATAAGCTTTACGTACCATCTTAATCATTTCAAAATATTTATGTAATAAATTTATTTAATTGATATATAAAAAATAAATATTCGTTCATAAGTTTTGTGTAGCCTATTTGTAGTTTGTATAATTATTATAGAAGGGTGTTATGTAAATCTTCTGTAATATGTGGCCAAATAATAAAATGATGTTTCAGAATGCTTCACATTTGACTAAACGGTAATGTAAAATTTAATTGACCTTAGAAAACATTTGTGTAATTTAAATTAATAATATGTTGGATATTTTATTAAGAATGAAGTACTTTTAGTTAATAATAAAATAATTAAATGACAGAAAGTATCATATTTGATTAAAATGTTATGTAAAAAATAATTTGATAAGATGATCAACAGTTTAGTCAATAAAAAATGAATTTTTGTTCATTATATTACTGAAGACTCACTTAATAAGAAATAAGTATCCCAACATAAGCTTTACATAGTGTATTAATCAATAAAGAAGCCTTACATATATAATAAGTTTGTATAATTGACTCGCGTAATAAGAAATAATTATGCCTCCATAATTATCACTCTATAATTCTTACGTAATATATTTGTAATATGTTTAACTATTGTAGAATGACATTGTGTAAATCATCTGCAATGTGTGGTCAAATTACAAAATCAAGTTACAAAACGTATAACATCTTAATAACTGCTTTGTAAAAGTTAACTGACATTAAGAAACCTTTATGTAAAACATAACAATTTATTCAACTATTATGTAAAAAATAACTACATTTGCATAATCTTTGTGTAAAACAAATTGATAAATGGTCAAGAATTATAAATAAATTTGGTTCGCTCAAACTTATACTATGACGGATATATGTTAATTAGTTTGTTTATACATAAGAAATATCTATTCTTCTATAAATGAAGGATTGTAAAATCGTAATGGAGGTTAAACCGAAAAATTCATAAAAGAAATATTTATCCTTCTATATATCATGGATCATAAAATTGTAATGGAAGTTATATCGAAAAAGTCAGTATTCGAGTAATTTGTTTTGAGATCATAGTTTAAATGTGGTTCAACCATTTTATACCGTTAAAACTCTCTACCGGTTTGGACTCTCTAGACATTTGTTTGTCCGATTTGTTTGGCCGAATGATAGGGTGAACTTGATGATTATGATAATAATGGCCAGTTAAAATAATTGCTCCAAGAAGAAGGGGACCGAAATAATTGGTGGGTTCGGCCACACCTAGAGGTGGCAAATGGATTGGATTGGTGGATTGGTGGATTGGATTGGTGAATCCATGGATTATATGGATTGGATCTAATGGATTGGTGGATTCATGGATTGGATCAAGGGGATTGGTGGATTATCCATGAATCCAAATGACATCCTCAACCAAGGACCAATATGTAAAATGTAAAAAGTTTAGGTACTAAAATGTCATAATGAAAAATTTTAGGTACCAAAACGTAATTTTCCAATGATATTTTTTGTATAAAAATTAAATTTTAGGTACCAAAATGTAAAAAATAAAAATTGTAGGTACTAAACCGTAATTTGCCAATGATCCATGGATCCAATCCATGAATCCACCAATCCAATTGGATTTGGATAAAATGGATTGGATTTAAATGGATTGGATTAGGTGGATATTTTTAATGGATTGATGGATTGGATTGGTGGATTGGATTGAAATTGCCACCTCTAGCCACACCTAATCACACCACTAATGAACTGTAATTTGGGGAGAGATTTTCGTGAGAAACAGTAAAATGACTGTAGGCTTACTTGCACCTTTAATTAATTAATTTATTCTACTTTTACAATTCAAAATGGGGGTCCATGCTCTACCAAATTTCCTATCATGATTGTTGCTCCATTTTCCTAACTTCCTCCTGCAATTTCAGCTTCTGACACTATCGTCGGCAGACATGAGGTTGCAAGGAGGCTCCAACGAGGGAGAAGTTGAAGATTTTTCAAGGAATAGCCTCTGCTTCTCATCGGCAAAGCACAACACAGAATCTGGACACACCTCAAGAGCAGAGGGTGGTGGGACAGGCTTGAACATCTGGAGCTTTGAATATTCAGTGATGAGGTGGAACATGTAGTCGTAGACTTTGTCCATACTTAAACTCTCCATGAAGTCTTGTCCTGCTTTCGCTATCGCCTGAGCCTGTTGGTGGGAAATGCAAGCGAAAAATGGCATCCAAGTTGAGTATAAAATCATACGCAAGCAGATGAGCTAAGCAAATTCATATTAGTTATCCATGCCAACTTGAAATCAGGTTGATAAAGGTAGGTTCAAGTAGGGTAAACATACCTCAGCTGGGTGTGAGTTCCCCCAGTCAACAGCCGACTTTATCGATTTACATAGGTCGACGGGCGATACTGGCCAATAATTTTTCTTGGGTATAAGGCCGCGACTGAAGAAATCCTCATACTGTGGCGAAATGATCAGCGTCATGGCACCACAAGATAGGATATATTTCAAGCTCACGGACCAAGCGAAGCCTTCTGCATATATCTTGTACCTACAAACCGAGGAATGGAAACATAAATAATTAGCAGTAGGAAACAAATAACTCCAAAAGGGAACCACATTATTGATCCGATCAACCTGCATCCTCATATGGAATATGCTAAAGAATGCATGCTCCAAAGAATTGATCTTGTTGAAACAAACTTCTCATATGCTCTCAAAGGAAGTATCTTGATATATGGCAGTTCCTAAGTGAATAAGTAGATAACATTATATAGAACATGAAAGCTAGGTACGCTTTTTGGCCAAAACTTCATGTTACTGTTTCATTATTTGTCCGTTAGTGAAAGGGCTTTCCCTCTCCCGTCTTCCTCAATCTCACCCTAGATGGAGAACTCAAAAACTGTAAAACAGAAAAGGAAAAATAGGTTAGGAAGTGCTCTCCCTGCAGCCCCCCTCACCCTGCCATATTCTTCTCTGTACTTTTCCTCTCCAATCACATCACTCTAAATTTCCTTTCAATCCACAACTATCTCTCCAACTTTGCAAGCAATCTAATTGTGTGAAAAAATAGCTTTCACCCCTTCCCTCCGTTATAGACTTGAAGTCCTTTCACCTTCCTTATGTTTCCACCAAACACATCTCCCATGCTCTATCCTCTCCTGTCACACAATCACTGATTTTCTTCCACAAAATCATCCCTCCATCTCCCTATACAATCTGTCTATTCTCCATCTACTTGCTTTCCACTTATCTAACCCACTATCTTCTAACTCTCATCCGTATCCTCCAATATTTTGTGTTCTTTCTCTCCCCTTGGACTCTACACGCCGGGGAAAACTCATAGGCAGCGATGGTGAGAATCCTCCATGGCACCAGCGATGACCGAGTGAATATTTTCCTACAAATTATCGACTACATTTTGTTTCGTTCAGCTGCCGCCAAACAGAGCCAAACAAAACCGTTTATTTTAGCTCTCATGGATGCTTTCTGCTCTCCTTGCTCGAGGTCCACCAGCACCATATCCGGCTCAAAAGGTCACAAGAGAAGAAGAAGGATGAGGATGGTGGCGAAGGTGTCGGGAGTTTCACCTCTCGGCAATGGCCAGAGTTATCGGTACGGTGTTTCACCATCAATGAGAAGATATTGGGAGGAATCCTGGAAATTGTCACATTCCCTTGATTCGTTTCTTTTGGGGTGTGAGTGAATGAATCAGTACAATTAGTACTTGCAGTTTAGAATTCTCAGCATATGCGTTTTATTCAAAGCCTGCAAGCTAATCAATCCCTTTGTGTTGTTGTTGCAGTTCTGGTTTCCGAGTTACTACTTCCATGGAGCCAGTGGTTGATGATGGAGGAGTTGGCCCTTTAACAAAGACCAGCAAGAAATCTCGAGTCCAAGAGTCCCCTGCAGGCTTCCTTTGAGTTCCTACTCAACATCTGGGTCACAGCCTCTTAAACAGATGCCTTCGTATTCTAATGGTTCGATGGATCATGGGGTGAAGGGTGGTTCTGATCAAGGATTCGAAGAACCACCCAACAAGCTTGCTAAACACTCCAAACATCAAGTGGTAAGGAACAAGAACCAGACTTCACTGTAGTAACACTAATCTTTTCTGATGGAGACAAGTCAAGTTGAACTTCTTAAGGAACCAATACTATAATTCTATGGTTCCAACTTCCAACAACTAAACTTCATCTGTTTTGTGGTCTTATGCATCAAAGCTGGACATTGTGCAGAGCTTTAATCACGATGTTAGAGATGCGATTCATTACAACAGAAGAGTCTCTAACTCAAAACATAGAGATGTGCAGGTTCCACTGCAACCTTAATCTCAGCATTCTGTTAGTTGTTCGCCAACTCTATGCAACGACCCAGTCGGCAAGGGAGGCGCTGTTGTAGTTGTTGAGGGTTAAGTGGAGTCAAAGAGTTTAAAAAGGCTAGATGAAGTAACCTTGGTGTTCAGTAAGTTTTGTGATTTTAATCTCTAATAAGCTGTTTTTTTCCTTCATGTGGATTGGGCCTTACGAACCATCAAGGTTCCTGTTCAATTTACGTTCTTCCCTTTTGTATAGGCATGCTCATATAATCAATTAATCATTATTACATTCTGTGCTATGATTTGATATTTTAGTTCAACTGACTTTAGATTGGTTTATTATTTGCCAGAAGTCAAGGTGGAGAAACCGGATGATGGAGTAGCAAAGAATTCCAATGACGAATCCTACATTCAGTGTTCAAACATCAAGTGCGTTGCTGACAGACGTTGTCTCTACAAAACATGTGGATGTTTGTTACTTTGTTCTAAACGCAATGAGAAATTAATTTGTACATATGTTGTTGGTTGTATGTCTTTACATATAGTAATTTGTTTGTTGTCTTCGTGCAGGTTGCTTTCGTTGACGATATGGGATCTTGCTGATGAAAATGATATTATGTAAATATAAGTAGTCGTTGGTATTTGGCGGGGAGATGTGGGTTTATTTGTCTATAAGCAATTATGTAGGGGTCTCTTGGTTATTTTGGGCTGTTGGTTCTTTGTTTTGAGTTTTGACCATCTTTTGTTTATCCAAGGCTGGGACACAAGGAATGATGATTGTTAGCCAGAGTCCGGAGACCTGGTTTTGATATCTTCACCCTGAGTATACCTAATCTGTTGCGGTTTGAGGGTGTCTATTATTTGTTGGATGGACCAAAATGAGTTGCCTGCACAATTATGGTTCACTATGTTGTTGGCCTTAGTGTTGATACCACTGGGTTGCTTAGTATATGTAAGTTACATATCTATTGCATGATATTTGTATTCCTTGAGTATTTTCTTAACACGTGATCAATATAGTAGATCACTAATTAACCTTACAAATCATGTTTTATCTATTTTGATCATTTCCATGCTTATGAGTAGTTTCCGGATTCTATATGTAACTTAAAAGCCAATGATGATTCATTGAGTTATCATCTTAGATTTTGTATATAATAGTTATGGTTGCGAGTTAAATTTATATTGCTTAATAAAGTATATGAAATGAGCTTTATATAAATCAAGCAAATGCAAAAAATTAATGTATTTTTTAAAAGATACTAAACATGTGAACACAATAAGATATGTCGTTGCCTAAATATTTTCAAAGCTGTAGCCATTAATGTCCATATATTTCTCGCGGCGTAGCCGCGAGTATTGATTCTAGTAATCAACTAAAGCCCACTCACCGATAGGTGCACTGATTTGATAGCTTGGAGGCCTCGAAACCTTCTCTTGCCTCTTGCACCCAATCCTGTAATACACACAACCTTCAGTAACAACTTCATCGAACCCTCCTCAAAAATATATAATTGTCGATGAGAATAGCACTATGAAAAACTGAACCTGTCGCATAATTTGTGCTCCCCATTTCCGGGAGTCATTGCATTGCAACAACTCTAGACGAACAGGGGAAACAACGTCTGGATTTCCCTTCCAAAATGCACGAGGCTGCTTTGCTGCCCATCGTTTAGCTTGAGAACCCTTTTTAATGTCAGGGAATTCCTCGCTCCATGGCTTGATATTAATCTCCGACCAACCCCAGAAGGACCAATCAGGGAAAGGAATGTCGAAATGCTCACGGGTGGTGCAATACCGAAAAAGAGGCACAGGGTTGGATTGACGTTCGGTCCGGTTGAGAATAGGCTTGTCCATGCAATCAAACATTAGATCAACATCAGGAACCATGCCAGGATACTTCCGCAATAGTTGTATGAATCCCCATATCGTCACCATCATTCGACTCTGGAAGCAAGCATAGTAAGGATCCAAATAGAGCCTCCCCTGGAAGATTACAATTCGAAACGCCGCAAAGTTCTTGGCCTCCATGACCTGATTCTCCGTTATCCCGGACTTGACCCAAGGGGCCAGATCCCGGTGTATGTGACTGAAAAACTCGGGACACTGTGCTGCAAGTTTGTTGGTCTGGAAACGAGGTCGCTTCATTATGCTTCTATTGAAATAGGGACAACTAAGGTAGGAGCACTGAATAATCTTGTATGCTCGGGACTGGCGGGTTTCGTCATCGAAGCTCTTGGCTGGAAAAATGTGCCATGGGGTCGGCTCCAGGTTGTGGCCTGCCATCGTTTTGGTGCTCGTCACGAAGTCATCTACCTGTTCGATGAAATTCCAAAACCAACAATTATTCAAGAACTCTAAAGAAAACAAGAAAAAATTAGAGGGCTGACAATTATGGGAAAATGGGTGCTCATTGATCTTACCTTGTACAGGAAAAGGAGGGTGAAGAGGGCTAAAGCGAGTAGGGAAGGGAGGAGATAGGAGGGTGATCGAGGGGCTGAGAGTCTCGACAGAGCCACCATTGTAATTGGGTTGGAGAGCAGTTAGAACATAGGAGGGAGAAGGAGAAGAAGGGGTCGTGGTTTTAGGAAAAAGGGAAGAGGGAAGGAGAGATCAATGTCACTTTCAAATGGCGGGTAGTTAGCCTATTTGGTATACAAATTTTATGATATCTCTCCTTTTTTTGGGAGATTCACCTCAACTTTCTAAGCCAGAGACGTCTCTCCGCTTTTCTCTCTGCTCGACTGATTTAATTGTTGGCTTTTTTTCCACCTTCGTCGTAGTCAATCCATTTTCGGCAACATCTTTTCTTTCTCCTGCACCATCACTTGCTACTTTAACCGACGACGAGAATTCATTTTCTCGATGAAATGTTGTACACTGAAAAGCTTCCTCTAGTGTCCAACCATGTCCTAGGTACTGTCATAAAATATTAAATAAGTATGTGTCTGTGTTTAGGTGTTTGACAAAAAAAATTAAAAGAAGTGTTTGACAAAATTTTCAATTCCAATTCTTGAAAAAAATAAGTTCAATACCAAAACGAGAAGTTTTTTTTACAGTAAGGTCTCCAAATATGAATGCGGGGAGACAAGAAGGATTTTTGGTATGCGTATATGAGTTATTTAATGCATTATTCTAAGGATGCAAAAAAATATATAACTAAAAAATTAATAAACATGATATTAGTGGCACACTCCTAGAATATATCATACGTCAAATTAGAGTGATAAATAGTTATGTCTTTAACGGTTTAATCCCTAACCGCATCATTAAATTGTTAACCGCTAAGAAGAATGTGGGTCGTTTAACAAAAGCTCAAAATCTCTTATCGAGTTATCAAGTCATAAACGGTTAATAATTGACAGTTAGTGGTTAATCTACTAATAACTAATAGGAATTGTTAACCACTCAAAATAGGCAAAATGTCACACTCAATAAAAGAAACAGCTTCCCCCAGACCACTCTGCAATCACTGACTCCAATCTCCTCGTCTTCTCAGCTCAAATGAAGAACGGAGATCGTTCATAGAGGTTGTGCTACGAACCATGAATCCATGGTCGTCATGCTAATAACCCTCTCTGGTGGCTTCCCCATTAGATCAAAGGGAGGATGAGAGAGAGAGAGAGAGAGAGAGAGAGAGAGAGAAGAGATGATGATCGGCCTCAATGTTGAGGCCGGTGTAAGCCCTCCTCTATTGTTTTACTTGGATGGAGAAGAGAGTGAAGGAGAATTAGGATTTTGTTTTCTTTGTTCGTTAGTTCACAGGGGAGTTGATTCATTCTTTTATCTGTAAAGAAGAAAAGAGAGAGGCGAGAAGACGAGAGTGAAGAAATGAAGGGAGCGTGTGGCTAGGATTTATCATGTTCATCACTTTTCTTTTTTACATTCTCTAAAAAAATAATTCTGCCCATTGCCTTTTGCCCCATTCGCAAACCTACTACCGCTCTCTCGTTCAGGCGGGTTACCGCTAAAATACAGTTAACCTCATGGGAGATTAACAATTACTCGCTAAGCCTTGACGAGTCAGTTAACATTAATGATTATTTTAGTTGGCAGGTAATCACTAACCGCATTATCGGTTTATATTTAACCGCTAACCGACCCAACTATCACCCCCTACTTCAAATGATCTCATCGTTGGATGTACTATGTTGTACTTCGGCGAATTCAAATCATCGACTATTATTTTTATTATCTTGATGCAAAACCTCAAAAGTAATAGGTTGCCTACGTACCCGAGTAATCGAGATCAAAGTACACATAGTTTGTTCGTGTCAAGATACGTGTTTGGTTTCCTATTTATAAAAATTGTTCGAAACGAACAATTTTTATAAATAGGAAACCAAACACGTATCTTGACACGAACAAACCATTATGGTCTATTGACGGGAACGGATCAGGTCAGTAACCTTATGGTGAGTAACCATGAGTAATTCGTCCACATCAGCATGACATCATCATCTCTCTCCTGAAAAGCCTTTAATTACTTAATTTTTTACAGACGTTTTCTCACTCGTTTTAAGTCGAAATTTAATTTTTTTTTACACAGTTAGATCAGATTAATTGTGCTCTTCAAAATGATATCCACTTTGATATATTTTTCGAACAAAAAAAATTGAACCATTTTTTACCAGTCTGTACCATATGGTATTGACTGGTATTGAAATAAGAGCATACCTATGGTTTGAAAAGAGTGTCATTGCGGTATGAACAAACCAAGACTGTGAGATGGTTGAATACGTGATAGTAGAAGTATATTAACTGTCATTTACGACTTACCACAAGATACAACCCCGTATTAGGGTGGTAACGTATGGTATTGTTTGGTATTTTTTGGTCCTGTTATTTGTTCACCTAGAAATTTGTAGATTCAATAGATCATGATGAACTCGCCTTCTGTGCAAACGTTTTCAAAAACGAATTAAAAACGAAGAAAATACCATATGGTATGCAGTTGGTACCGAGAGGCAAGAAATTTTTTTTCTAAACAAATATAGAAAATGGATCTCATTTTGTAGAGCACAACGAACTCGTTCCATCTGTTCAAAAAAAAAAATTAAAATCCGAGTTAAAATGAAGAATATATGAGCCGATTAAGAAAGCTAAGGAAAATAAAAATGATGAACTAGAAATTTGTAGATTCAATAGATCATGATGAACTCGTTCTTTCTGTGCAAACGTTTTCAAAAACAAATTAAAAACGAAGAAAATACCATATGGTATGCAGTTGGTACCGAGAGGCAAGAAAAGTTTTTTCTAAAAATAATATAAAAAATGGATCTCATTTTGTAGAGCACAACGAACTCGTTCCATCTGTGCAAAAAAAAATTAAAATTCGAGTTAAAACGAAGAATATATGAGCCGATTAAGAAAGCTAAGGAAAATAAAAATGACTTTTAATTCTCAATGTTTAGATCTGGATTTTCTAAATGTAGGGTCCATATTTAGTTATTGATGGGTGCATAATCCATGGTTATGCACCCTATCTTGAGTCGTCTATTAACCATAATTTTTCGTATTAAGGGTTTTTAAGGAAAGTGTATTTATGAATAACAATGATGTAGTGAATACCCTAATATTTTATGATTTTGAATTAATCATGTTGTTTATGGATAATTTGTGATTTGCTTCAATTTTCTTGAGTTTTCTATATTAGTGTTGAACAATTTGTATGGTTAATTTGTGATTTGTTTGAATTTTCTAGAATGATGTTTTATATATGGATAATTTGTATTGAGAGATTGATATTGTACTTTTATTTTGATAGGAACTTGTTATTGTAAATTTTTTACGATAAAAACCCATGGGTACCCATGAACCCGCGGATACCTTGCGGGTTGGGTTGGGTTTGAGTTTTTCAAATCCAGTGGGTTTTACCCTGGGTTTTTTTCACGGATAAACCCATAGGTTTGAGTTTGGCAAAACCCGACCTATTGTCATCCCTAAGTAATTTGATTAGATTTTTACGTATTGAGGTTGGTAATTTACTAATAATTTGTGATTAAGCGAAGACGCTAGGCTAACAAATTTATTGCGGCTAGCCCAATGGGTTAAGACTTAAGACTCACTGATACAGTGATACTCGGTATCAGTTATTGGTTGGACTGAAAATTGGTCCAACTCGTCGCTGATTTTGTCTAATCTGTTTCTGAGGGTCACGATGTATAATTGATCCGTCCCAATTTTTTTTTTTTTTTTTTATGATCCTGTCTGATTCTTTAGGGTCGAGATGAGTTTGAAAGGATCAAATTAGTGGGTTGATCCGACTAATTAAACCCTTTCACTTATTAGACCGATGAGATTGTAGAAACCTGTTTGATAACCTTCTTCTCCCTCCTTTCATCGAGAAAAACGATTCCCTGAAAATGACGGACCATTAACCCAAAAAGAACGCCATCTCTTTGCCTCTGATGACTGATCACTCCCTTCGTCTTTCTCCATTCCAATCTCCCTCTCCCTCGCCTCTCTTTTTTTTCTACAAGAACACGACGAAGGGAAAGCCGCAAACCGTTCTTCAATCTGCCTCCTCCCCTCTTCTGGTAATGACGAGAAGGAAGAGAGGAATAACAACGGCGCCGGTGAGACCGATGGCGAAGAATGTCAGAGGTAGGTTTTGTTTTTGGGTTGCAAGTCATTTATTAGGGTTTTCTCGGGTTTCATTCTAGGTAAGGTGATTTTGATTTGTTTCTGATTGCTTTTTCTGGATTCTTTGGTCGAAGGGAGATGAAGAGGAGATCGGAAACCGCCGGCGGCAGTGGCGAAGCTTCTTCGGCCACTGCGGTGGCGAGGCGAAGAGAGCTAGCGGATTCAGATAGGTAAAGTGTGGGTTTGTTTGTAGTTTTCGTCAGACTTTCAGTTCTATTTAGGGATTCTGATTTGCCTTTCTCTTGTTTTTTTTTTTAGTTTCGGATGGCGAATAGACAGGGGAGAAGAGGGCAACTGCCGGCCGCCCCGGATTTCGCCGGCGGCGAAGATGACAGCGAACCAAAGGGGACCTTTTTGTTTGGGTGAGATTTGGTTTATTTGCTGTTAACCAGGGTTGGAAAAATGACACCTCCTAATGTATTGAATATAACTATAGAATTTAATACATACATTAAATACACATTAGGAATTAAATGCACCATATTAATTATTTGTTTTTTTTTCAAATTAAAACATACACTAAATACATTCTCTCTTCCTATATCTTATTTTTCCTTTTTCAGCAGCCTCTGACCACCAGACTTCCTCCGACCGCCACACTTCTCCGGCAAAAATTTCATCGGCTGACTCCCTCCGACCACCTGCAAAAAATATATCACTGCACTGATACGTTGTACCGCTGCACTAATAGCTATACCACTGCATTGGTAGCGATATCAGTGCAATGGTACCAATGTCATATATGAGTGTCAGTGCAGTGGTACAAATACCAGTACAGTGGTATAACATATCAGTGTACTGGTATATTTTTGCAGTTGACCGAAGAGAGTTTATCGGCGGGATTTTACCGGCGAAGTGTGGTGGTCGGATGAAACTTGGTGGTCGGAAGCTGTTGGGAAAGGAAGAATCAGAGATAGGAGTGAGAAACATCAAAGATGAGAGATAGAATTGTATTTTGTATATGGTTAGATTTTTTATAAAAAAAAACAAGTAATTAATATGGTGTATTTAATGCTTACTTTGTATTTAATAACAAAACATTTATTATGTTTACCTTCGTTAATACTTGTCAATGATTAATGAAAAAATTGACCAATTGAAAATGGGGTGTCAAAAAACCAACCCTTTTAGCATTTGAAATAAAAAAGAAATTAAGATTGGTTTGATATGGTTCAAATGATCTGGGTTTGACTCTATCATTAGCGAGTTCTGTATTTTTGTGATGGTTCAATGAGACTCAAATATGGGAAACTGTGTTGTGGTGTTCATGATAAATTTTGTGGGTTTTGAGGTTCATGGTCTGAAAACTCACATCTGATATTTTGATCAATGGGGGGTTTCGAACGGTTATGATTGTTTGGTAAAGATATGAATGAATTTGGAAATTAAGTGTTTATAACTGGATTTTTGTGTGCATCTGGTGTTTTGTAAATCTGAGATTTCTATGAGCTTATAGCGGCCTCTGTGTTTAGATGTTAGCTTGATGCAGCATAAGATAGAAAATACTAAACAAAAACATTCTAAGGTGGAAAAGATAGGAAGCAAATCTGATTTTTTGTTGTGATATGCTTTAAACATGTATATGCATCAATGGTAAGACCACAAAACAGTCACAGATCTGATTTCGGTTGCCTTGGTTCGTTAAAGTCGTTACTACCATGTCGTAGTTTGCTTGAAAATCAATTGTGTTTGACACCTTTGGTACGAAATAAGCCAATGGTTTTGTTGGATAGATTTTCTTAAAAGAAAATACAAACTTGTAACCAGATGATTATAAGTGATGCAAGATAGAGATTATGAGATTTACTTACCAGCCTCTGTTGGTAGTTTGGGGAGGGTTCCGACCTTTGATGAAGTCTCCTGGAGTGCTCTTTCTGCTTCTTCTGCAACCTTCAGCCTGGTCCGTCTGTTTTTTTTTTTTTTTTTTGCTGTGATTTTGCAGTGGGATGTTTGTTTGTGGGTCTTTTCTTGCTTTGTCAAACAAAGACAGAAAGTGTTGTGTGATTTGGTGGCTTGTTTGCTTGTGAAATCTGTCGGAAAACAATGAAAGAGCCAAGAAGGTTGTTGCTTTTCAGTTTTTTTCTTACTCCTGATCTGCCATTTCTCATAGGTTGCTTCGGCTGCTTTTGTGTTTCTGTAGGGTTTCTGCCGCCATTTTCTTGGGTTTTCTCTTGCTGCCCTCAAACAAAGAGCCAAGTGATTCTCAAGTTTCTGTCTTCCTATTGGCTGCTTGATGATATTGATGATTTCTTATTGGCTATTGGGGGATTGCCCCCATCTGTTGCAATAGTTGCCCTCTGTTGGACATGGACCAGGTTTGGATCATAGGTCAAACCCATCGAGTTTGATTCAGGCTTAACCAGGCTGATCGGACCTCACTGTTGGGCTTTGACTTTGGTTGACCGGCTTGGCTATGTGGCCCGAGTTGACTTGGGCCTGAATGGACCTGGTTCTATTACTTTTGGTCAATACTACAGTGACGCTATAAAAAAAATGCGGCACCGGTGACGCACTTTTTGATTGGGCCACGTGGATCTGAGGTGGCAGTGGATGAGTTTATTGTATCAGAGCCCAAACCGATTGACCCATGAAACTGGCTTTAACCGGCAGGTGACCAAACGGACGGAAAGTTCGTCGTCTTCCCACTAATTCCTTCCTTCCTTTTCGTTGTTATTTTATTTGTTTCTACAAAAATCATGAAAAAATAAAATTGAACTCAAAAGCACATGGTTGTCTCTTCGTCGATCTCCTCTCCGGCAGACTCTACAAAAGGACTTCCGGCGACTCCTTCGTTGATCCAGGACCATCAAAGGGCTCCACTGAAATCGTTTACAATTTTCTCATCCTTCGTATAATCGGTAAAACAAAACCCTTCTTGTCCTGCTGTTAAAAGGCAACGAGCCTTTTCATTCAATGGGGAATGTCGCAGTCATTCGGTCTCTGGATACTCATCAATTCCCTCTAGAAACCCACAATTTCCGGGAAAATATATTCGGCGAAGTCGGAGTCGGACATAACGAGTCTAGCCCCGTCGTCACCGTCAAGGTCGCCGAAGCGGCCCGTGTACCACGTGCAGAGCCCGTCGAGGGACTCTGGGGAGAAGTAATCGTTGGTGCAGCGCGTCCGATGGAGTCCCCGTCCCACCCGGTTTTAAGCTTGAGTCACCTCGTTTCCCTTTGCTTCCAATTTGGCAGAATAATGCAAGACTGGCACAATCTGTAGCTGTTAATGCTAATATAAATTCGGAACAGAAGATTGATTATCTGGGTCTTCTTCACATTTTGATTCTTTCGGCTGTATGCACTGGGATGCTACCTAACTGTCAGGGTCAGGGTAGGTATGCTTACTTGAGCTTTATTATTTCATTATTGTAATAATTGTATATGTAAAATGCCTTTACTTTGTCATGCCCCTCGCCAGTGTCGTGGCGCTTGCAGTTTAAATTTCATGGTGCAATTGGACAATGTTCATGGTGTTCCTTGAACAAAATTAAAAGCTGAAAAGAGAATTGATTGGAAAAGATAAGTAAGGCTAGATCTATGTGAAGAAATGTGGCTATGAATTGTTATTCCCTGTAGACAGTCAGTGATGTCGAATTGTGTTGACTTTTGTTCTGGTCTAGAATTTATTGATTGCTTGCTGCAATTGCTTTCCAAGGAACTCATTGAACACACTTTCAGGTGGTGGAAATTTAGGAGCTGGAATATCTTATTGTCGTTGTCTTGTTGAGGCTGATTCATAGATTATGATTGAAGTACTTGTTAAAGGGAACACATTCCAGATGGGTTTGGATGATAGATAGATACTTCTTCTTCGTGTACTTGGCTTAATAATTACAAGCCTCAACTCAAATAGAACTGCCTACTATGACTTTAGTCTTTCTAAATGTTATATATACGTTCTGGCTGCTTGCTTACTTAGAGATTTAGTACTTTCGAAGTAAAAGATTACTGGGAATAAGCCTGATATGGTTGTTGGAAGCTATAATCGAATTGCGACTGTGGACATCAACCTGTATCTATAAATAATTCACCTCACAATGCACGATTTTTCCAACTTAACTATTTCTCAATGTCATTGCTTTTAACTTTGCCAGATCATGATCAATGCATAGCTTCTGTATAACAATATATGTGTTGTATAGAGAGAGTATCCCCTGCAGCTCGTTACAGAAATACAAATGGAAAAGGAAAAAGATTGTAAACAACTAAACAAGGTTCCCAATTGCTACATCCTTGACTTAAACCTTTAGAGCAAAAGGAAACTCAGAGAAATTCAAGATTCAAATGACCTGAATCAGTGCCCTGCTCAAAATACAGAAGCCCCGAACTACCTGAAAGCCTTTGAAATCCGTTGGAGAAAGCCACTTCCTCCAAGGAATTTCACATTCAAAATTTCATGCTTCCATCAAGGAGGCGCATCGGGACGACACAGGGGGATGTCAATTCTGATTTTGGTTGAATCGTGTGGTACGATGACGCAGAGCAGTTAGAAAGATACAGAATGAGGGATTCGTTCGGCTTCTTTTTCACATAATACGGAGGAAGAAGATTGTGGAGTTCAGTGGATGCTTATGGTAAACACTCGGTATTGAATCAGAGACGGAGAAGTTCTCCGAAACTGCTTATCACCGTTCGTCGGAGCAGGAGAGCGAGGAAGAGGAGGAACACGACTTCAGGATTTCCATTTTCCTTTTTTTTTTGTTGCTTGAGAAAACATATAATTTTTTTTAATAAATTAATGGAAAAGGGTAGAAAACGGAACAGAGATAGGAAGACGGAACAATACTTCATCACTTTGCCCAACGACGGTTGGGCCAGTTGATGGTAGGCTGGGTTATTGAATTCAACCAATGCCACGTCATTCATAAGTGGCCAATTAAAAGCTGCGGCACCGGTGCCGCACTTTTTACAGCGGCACCATAGTATTGGCCATTACTTTTTTATACTTGGTCATTCGGGTTGGACCTGATTGCTGAGTTTGATTTGGCGCTTTTAATTTTACGCTAGTAATTTAGCTATTGGAATTTAATTTATGTTTATTGTAATTATTATTTGGTAATTATAAATTTATAATACAATTGATATGAATTGAGACTTTTAATAAAAAAGTTTTATTTTGTTATTTTTTGTTCCAAAAGCCAAGGCTTAACCTTGCTAAGCTCAATGCCTTAAGAATCAATTTGATTGATCAATAACACGTGACTATCAAAGTCGAGTGCATCCTTAATTTATCTAAAAACATGCAACTCAAACTATTCAATTTTGTCGATCGGGATTTGTTATCGCTTAATCTCCAATAAGTTATGGCAAACAAGACCCTTCCCCAATACTACAAATACTTTTTAGCTAGTAGTTCATTTAAATTTTTTATTGCAAACCCTAAACAAAAATTAAATTTATTTAGTTAAATATATTTTAACTCGGACAAAAAAGTTAGTGTCTACAGGAAGGAAGCAGGAGGGAGTGTCCACCCAAGGAGAGAAGGAGAATTGAAGGAGATTCTGGTTATTGCACGATCATTTGTTTCCTAGATAACAATTATCTAGAGCAATGGTTAGTGGATCTTGTTTCTTGTATCAATATACTACCACTTCCACTCAATGAAGATTTAGGTATCGCCGACATGGATGAGATACAAATAGAGACCGAGATAGCAGACAACACCCTTTGTCAACATCTTGGAGTAATTCGAGGATTGAGTACCCGAAACGGGTCATTCGTCTTCTTTCTAGATTACGTGGTGATCGAGATGGAGATAGAGATCCCGTACTCCTTGATCTTTGGTAGACCATTTATGGTCAATGTCGGTGCCATGATCAATGCGCTAAAAGGAGAAATCACAATACAAGTGGGAGATGTCATGCATAAAAGATTGTGGTTTATTAAAGATGAATGAACAAAGAAGCCCATTGGTGATGATGATTTCGAGGAGAATGAAGAGACGAAGCAGGAGATAGAGATCAAGTTCATAACATGATCTCTATATGAGGATTCCTTACATGGAACAATCATCATAATGATGAAGACCTATTATGGGGAGACAAGTTGAAAGAAGCTCTACCAACTCTGGATTTGAAGCTAGCACACATGGCGCTCAAGATAGCCAGTACAAGGACAAATATGTTGCTAGAGAAGATCAAGGAGCTGGAGTACAAAGCATCGGAGGACTTTCAAGAGTTCGTGCACCATCATGGTTTCAATCCACATCCCATGGAGCCAACAACGATGGATGTAACTGGATGGGATGATGAATGAACGTCAAAACTCGATTGGTCATCCGATGAGAGCATGTTTTTTGAATGAGAGTAACATCTACCTCCATAAACTATAAAAGTGCTAGTAGCCTAAGCCCTTATTTTGAATGACAAATGAAGTAACTCATTTTAAACTTTTCATCTCCCTCCGCCACAAATTCATCTACCTCCACCGCCACCACACCTTCGTGTTCCCATTCTTCTTGCTTCGGTTGACTCTGCCAACAACAGGAGGAGGCGGCTCCGTTTTGAGACAAGCCGGAACCCTCCTTTACTCGACTCGAAGTGTTAATTCGTTCACCCACCATCGCCGACCCTCTATTTGTCATCCTCGGCGCCACAACAATCCTTCTCCTCTCCACGATCCCCCGCAACCATTTCAATCCGTAAAACTTCAATCTATCTCCCGATTTCCCTCCATCTTCCCCTGGCGCAGCTGCTCATCGTCGATTATTGGCGGTTGCTTTGAAAACCGCCCAGATCTGGAAATTATCGCCCAAGAACTTGCTCCACCTTCTCCAATTGACTCTCCTTCGCCGAAATCTTAGTTTCCAGTTGCTTTATTTCAACCGAAGCAGCAATCTGCTTCCTCCCGCCTCGCCGTAGTGGCGACGACGGATTTTGGTTCTCGATTCGGAGCCGGAAAGTGATGGAAGTGAGCTCTCCGAGCTCGATCTCGTCGCCATCGCGGAGGTCGTACTGTTAAAGAGGAGGGGGTTGGGAGGAGTTGAGAGTCGTACCATTGGAGGAGTCTGGATTCTGATTTGATTGCGAGGTGTTTGGATGAGATGTGAGGTGCTGCAATCAGAGGTTTAGGGCTCCGAATTCCACCGAGAGATGTTTCGTTGGATCAATCTCGGACCTTAAATTCACAACCCCTACAGAATCGCAAAGGAAAGGAGGAGGAAGAAGTAAGGTGGGGTGGAGTGGAGACTTGG